GAGGTGGCCATGCGTCAGGCCAAATGGATGAGAAGGAAAAGAGAGAGGAAGGGGTTGCAGCACCGAACCCAAAACACTTTTCGTTTGGGGTGCCTTATGGGAAACCACCAACCCTCCTCTCCCTCCCTCCCTCCCTCCCTCCCTCCCTCCCTCCCTCCCTCCCTCCCTCCCTCCCTCCTTCCTTCCTTCCTTCCTTCCTTCCTCTCCTTCCTCCTCTTCCTTCCTTTTTTCCCCTCTCTCCTTTCTTTTCCTTCCTCCTCTTCTTTCTTCTTCCCTCCCTTCTTCTTCTCTCCTTCTTTTCTTTTTTCTTCCCTCCTTCCTTCCTTTTTCTTCCTCCTTCTTTCCTCCTCCTTTCCTTTTTTCCTTCCTTCCTTCCCTTTTCCTTCCTTCCTTTCTTCCTTTTCTCCCTCTCTTCCTTCCTTTATTTCCTTCCTTCCCTTCCTTTCATTTTCCTCCTTTATTTCCCCTCCTTCTTTCCCCTTTCATCTTTCTTCTTTCCTTTCCCTATCTTCTTTTCCTTCCTTCCTTCCTTCCTTCCTTCCTTCCTTCTTCCTTCCTTCTCCTTCCTTCCTTCCTTCCTTCTTTCCTTCCCTCCCTCTCTTCTCCTTCCCTACTTCCTTCCTATGCTTTCCCCTTTTCTTCTTTTTGTTTCCTTCCTTCCCTTCCTTCTTTCCCCCCCCCTTTTCCTCCCTCCCCCCCTCCTTCCCTTCCTCCTTCCCTTCCCCCCTCCTTTCATATGCTTCCCACCCTCTTCTTTTTTCCCTTCTTATCCCTTCATCTTCTTTCCTTCCTTTCCCTCTCTTCCTTTTCCTTCCTTCTTTCCTTCCCTCCCTCCCTCTCTTCTCCTTCCCTACTTCCTTCCTATGCTTTCCCCTTTTCTTCTTTTTGTTTCCTTCCTTCCTCCTTTTCTCCCTTCTTTCCTTCCTCCTTTCCTTCCTTCCTTCCTAACTTTTTTCTTCCTTCCTTCTTTCCTTTCTCCCTTCTTCCCTTCCTTCCTTCCTTCCTTCCTCCCATTTCTTTTGTTTCCTTTCCTTCCTTCCCTGCCTCCCTCACTACTTCCTTTCTATGCTTTCCCCTTTTCTTCTCTTTGTTTCTTTCCCTTCCTTCCCTTCCCTCCCTTTTCCTTCCTTCATTAATATGCTTCCCACCCTCTTCTTTCTTTCCTTCTCTTCCCTTCATCTTCTTTCCTTCCTTTTCCTCTCTTCCATTTCCTTCCTTTTCTCCCTTTTGTTTCATTCCTTTCCTTCCCTCTCTCCCCCTTCCTTCCCTCCCTCCCTCCCTCCCTCCCTTCCAATGCTTTCCTCCTTTTCCTTCCTTCCTTCCCTCCTTCCTTTCTTCTTAGGCTTTTCACCCATTTTTCTTCGCTCGCCATCCCTTCATTTTCTTTCTTTCCTTCCCTCCCTCCCTCCTTCCTCATTTTCTATGCCTTCATTTTCCTTCCTTCCCTCTCTCCCTTTTCCTTCCTTCCATCCATCCATATGCTTTCCCCTTCTTCCCTGTCCATCCCTTCATCTTCCTTCCCTCTCTCCCTTTCCTCCCTCCCTCCCTTCCCCCTCTTTCCTCCTTTTCTTCCTTTTGTCTTTTTCCTTCCTTCCTCCCTTCCCCTTTCTTTCATTCCTTCCCTCTTCCTTTCTTCTTCTTCCCCCCTTTCTCCTCTCCTCCCTTCTTTTCTTTCCTTCCTCCCTCCCTCCCTCCCTCCCTCCCTCCCTCCCCCCTCCCTCCCTCCCTCCCTCCCTCCTCCTTCCTCTCCTCTTCTCTCCTTCCTTTTCCTTCCTTCCTTCCATCCATACTTCCCTCTTCTTCCCTCTTCCTTCCTTCCTCTCCTTTTCCCTCCCTCCCTCCTCCTTCCCTCCCTCCCCCCCTCCTTCCTTCCTTCCTTCCTTCCTTCCTTCCTTCCTTCCCCTTTTCTTTCTTCTTTCCTTCCTTCCTTCCTTCCCTCCTTCCTCCTTCCTTTTTCCTCTTTTCCCCCTTTCTTCCCTTTCCCCTTCTTTCCTTCCTTCCCTCTCTCACTTTCTCCTTCTCCTCCTCCTCCTCTCTTTCCTCCCTCTTCCTCTTTTCCCTCCCTCCTTCTTTCCTTCTTCTTTTCTTCCTCCCTCCCTCCCTCCCTCCTCCTTTTCCTTCCTTCTGCTTTCTCCCTTCTTCCTTTCTTTTCCTTCTTCTCTCTACCTTCCTTTCCCCTCCATCTTCCTTCCTTCCTTCCTTCCTTGCATTTCTCCAGCTGAGTGTTGAATTGAATATTATATGCATATATATGTGTGTGTGTACGTGTATAATTCCACCCTTCTTCTCTTCTCCCCTGGGGAGAGACAGCCAGCCGTGGGACTTTCCTCTTTCTCCATTCCTCGGCTCTCGCGGCCTCCAGAAGGGCAGGAATGTTCGCACGGTCGGTCCGGTCGTTATGGAGACAAGATGCTTCTCGTTATGCAATTTGGGGCCATTATTTTCCTTTGGACGGGAGTGTTTGCCTTGTACGCAGAGAGCAAACACACTCTGCCCTTGGTCGGCGTTAAGGAAACAGGGCTTCCAAGTGCCTTTGTTTATATATATACATATATATCTCTCCATTTTCTGCCAAGGTTGGTTCTCTGTTTTTAGAATTCTCTTCTTTTCTGACGATATTCAAAACATTTGCAAATTTCCACTTTCTCCTGGTGCCTTCCCGCCCGAAACTCTGCTTTGTAATGTGTTGCTGGAGGTTCGAACCCGGGCTTCTTTCTTTTCGATGACCAAATCGCCTTATATTAGCCTATCAATCGTTATCAAATCTGTGCCGTAAACCATACAGGCCTTGTAGCAATCGTTTTGCGTCGATTCCTTAGCAGAAAAGAGAGTCGATTTCGAGCCGAATCTCTCCAAACGGAACAAAAGTCGTGTTCTTATTGACGTGTTTATGCTTACAATAAAAGAGTGCGTTTTCGTTTAATCGGTCCCGAGTTCGTTTTGCTTTGGGGCGGATGCATCCTCCTCCTCCTCCGCTCACTTGAAATGCATTGCACTGCTCTACGTGGGTCGGAATGTTGGACTACAACTCCCATCGGCCCCTTATTGCCAATGGGAGATGGAGTAGAGAATATACAGCAAATGGACATTTGCTCATTGACGCTGCAGAGAATTCAACACTCAAACTTTGGGGGGAAAATGGCAAAGTAAGTCTATATAGGTTCTTGTGGGTTTTTTCGGGCTATAGAGCCATGTTCTAGAGGCATTTCTCCTGACGTTTCGCCTGCATCTATGGCAAGCATCCTCAGAGGTAGTGAGGTCTGTTGGAATTAGGACAATGGGTTTATATATCTGTGGAATGGCTGGGGTGGGGCAAAGAGCTCTTCTCTGCTGCAGTTAGGTGTGAATGTTTCAGCTGATCACCTTCATTAGCATTTGAAGGCCTGCCTGAGCCTGGGAAAATCTCTTGCTGGGAGGTGTTAATCTGTGCCTGGTTGTTTCCTCTCTGTTGTTTAGCTGTTGTAATTTTAGAGTTTTTTAATACTGGTAGCCAGATTTTGTTCATTTTCATGGTCTCTTCCTTTCTGTTGAAATTGTCCACATGCTTGTGGATTTCAATGGCTTCTTTCAGAGAACAATTTCAACAGAAAGGAAGAGACCATGAAAATGAACAAAATCTGGCTACCAGTATTAAAAAACTCTAAAATCACAACAGCAAAACAACAGAGAGGAAACAACCAGGCACAGATTAACACCTCCCAGCAAGAGATTTTCCCAGGCTCAGGCAGGCCTTCAAATGCTAATGAAGGTGATCAGCTGAAACATTCACACCTAGCTGCAGCAGAGAAGAGCTCCTTGCCCCACCCCAGCCATTCCACAGATATATAAACCCATTGTCCTAATTCCAACAGACCTCACTACCTCTGAGGATGCTTGCCATAGATGCAGGCGAAACGTCAGGAGAAATGCCTCTAGAACATGGCTCTATAGCCCGAAAAAACCACAAGAACCTAGTGATTCCAGCCATGAAAGCCTTCGAAAATACATTAAGTCTATATATCTATACACATATACATCTATACCAGTGGTTCTCAACCTTCCTAATGCTGCAACCCCTTAGTACAGTTCCCCTTGTTGTGGTGACCCCCAACCATAACCCTAACATTATGAATCGCCATGTAAATAATGATCTGCAGGATATATTTTCATTCACTGGAGCAAATTTGGCACAAATACCCGGTATGCCCAAATTTGAATACTGGTGGGGTTGGAGGGAAAATTGATTATGTCATTTGGGAGTTGTAGTTGCTGGGATTTATAGTTCACCTACAATCAAATAGCATTCTGAACTCCGCCAATGATGAAACTGAACCAAACTTGGGACACAGAACTCCCATGACCAATGGAAAATACTGGAAGGATTTGGTGAGCATTGACCTTGAGTTTTGGAGTTGTAGTTCACTTGCATCCAGAGAGCACTGTGGACTCAAACAATGATGGATCTGGACCTAACTTGGCATGAATATTTAATATGCCCAAATGTAAACACTAGTGGAGTTTGGGGGAAATAGACCTTGACATTTAGTTGTAGTTGTTGGGATTTATAGTTCACCTACAATCAAAGTGCATTCTGGACCCCACCAACTATAGAATTAGTCCAAACTTCTCACACAGAACTCCCATGACCAACAGAAAATACTGTTTTCTGATGGTCTTTGGTGACCCCTTTGACACCCCCTTGCGACCCCCCTGGGGGTCCCGACCCCCAGGTTGAGAAACACTGTAGTAGAGAATATATAGATGGACATTTGCTCATTGACGCTGCAGAAAATTCAACACTCAAACTTTGGGGGGAAAATGGCAAAGTAAATTTATATATCTATACACATATACATCTATATACACATAATAAAATAGAATCATAGAGTTGGAAGAGACCTCATGGGCTATCCAGTCCAACCCCATTCTGCCAAGAAACAGGGCAATCGTGTTCAAAGCACCCCCGACAGATGGCCATCCAGCCTCTGTTTAAAAGCCTCCAAAGAAGGAGCCTCCACCACACTCGGGGCAGAGAGTTCCACTGCTGAATCATAGAATAGAATCAAAGAGTTGGAAGAGACCTCATGGGCCATCCAGTCCAACCCCCTGCCAAGAAGCAGGAATA